CCTCACCCTGAGGTAATGTTTGAATAATTCTGCAGGACGGAAGCAGCGTTGGAGGCTTCGAACGTTCGTGAACAGGAGTCGTTACAGCCACGTGTAGAGAATCAAACCATCATGAAAATATTGAACAAATTAAACTCAGAAATTTCAATATTGAGATGAATAATATTGACAAAGTCGCTAAATAACGTTATTGTTTTGTATTCGAGTTTCTCAAGAATTTGCAGAAAAAAATGACACAAATGTGGATACACAAATTTAAAAAAAAAAGTTTTTTAGGCTCAAATAACCAAAAAAAAAAAACTTAAAGTCAAGCATGAGATCAGCCTGAATAATCAACCAAAACATTAGTACAAGTTTGAATAAATGCTGATTTTCAGTCAGGAAATATTTAAAAAATTGAAATTAAGCCAAAGTTAAAAACAAAGTACCAAAAAAATTATAAATAATGAGATTAAAATATATAAGTTGGTGCAAAAAAATAAAAAAAATCAACAACCAAACAACAACAACAAAAAAAAAAACAAAAAACCCCAAAATCAAAAAGCCAGCAGTTATCAGAGACGACTCAGTCTGAGGTCCTTGATTGGCCCCGAGGCCCCAGTGTCTTCTGGGATTTGTTTGCATGCATGTGAACATTTCTGCGTATTTGTCAGAGGAGGAGGAGGAGGAGGAGGAAGAGGAGGAGGAGGAGGAGATGTAGCAGTGAACATCGTGGATGATTTGATCACCAGGACCCAGAGAAATAAGTGCTCCATTACTCCTGCCCCGCCCCTCCTTTTACCCTCCATTTATAACATCCTTCTCTCGGCTGCCGTCTCCTCCCTCACCCTTTCACCTCCCCCCTCTCTCCCTCAGTGCTCCTCATTTTCCCAGTCCCTTATCTCCCGTCCTGCTCCTCCTTCACCTCCTCTGACGGCTGTGTGTTGTGACCCAGATCATGGAGGAGCGCGGGGAGAAGGACAGGAAAAAAAAAGGAGGCGAAGCAGCAAATAGTGGAGACAATGTGTGAGGTGTAATGTATCAGTCTCTTTCTTCTTCACCTCTGGATAGTTATAGTCAATAAAACAGTGCACCAAAAAAATATGAAATAAGGGTTTAGAATGTGTGCTCAGCACCACCTACAGGCTAGGGAAGAGTAGCTACAGGATCAAACTTTGACAAAGTGGATGGACATGTAACATTACTTACATGCTGAACACAGAACTTTCTGACAGTGTAGTCCACTAACACAGTCAAGTCCTCCATGGCCACACGGACATTCCCATACATCCAGCAGCCTTTCTCTGGCCAGTACTGGTAAGCGTCTGTTTACACCTTTATTCATAATTGATGCGTTAAAGGAAGGCAGACTTGGAGCAGGTTCATGTGCGAGTTTGTTGTTGCAGTTCAACCACGGCTTCATCTGTAAAAACATCTTTAATTAAAAAAAAAAAAAATTAAAATTAAAATTTAAAAAAAAAATTGTTTTTCAAAATAAGGTTCCATCATGAAGCAGCCCACGGTCTGGTGTCTAGACTGTGGGCCAAATTCTCTAGAAGAGCTCTGGTTTGGGTACGAACAAACAAAATGCCCCACCTACTGGTCGGAAGATGTCCTGCATATTAATCCTCATAAATGTGTTCATATTTCCTGTTGCTCGTGTCAACGCGACCAAATTATGGTCCAGGTTTTGGGTTTGGTGACCTCCTCTGGCCAGTTTAAGTATTATTACGAAATCAGTGTTGACTTTGGTGAAATGGTTCTCAACTGGGGGTATGCGGACCCCTGTGGGCACATGAAAACCAAAATTTTTTTTTTTGCTGCATGATTGTATATGCTATATATATGTATTATTTTAAATATCCTTTGTATTTGTCATTTTTTTATTTTTTATGAGGACAAATATTTCTTGGTACCTGTAGCCGTATATTACACATCATACTCCGTTAAATACTGCAGTTCACACTGCTGTGTTTTACACCCTTTGATTTCAAACCAAAAATACTCGGCCTGGTTAGAGAGTACTTGACGGTTGACAGAGACACCACGGTGGGTGTGCGGCTGTACAGGGATCCAGATCCACAGACTCAAATCACTGACTTCCTTCAGGTTCAACCTAAACCCACGCCGACGACAAACACTTTCTTCATCCGTTCACGTGAACCTAATGAAACGAACAGTCTCTCTCTCTCTCTCTCGCAGCTCGGCCGCTGAATGTGAAGTGAAGTGAAGTGAAGTGAAGTGAAGTGAAGTGCTGCCGCCGCCTGTTCGGCAGCTAAACGTGGCGTTGTGTGACAGTGCGCTGCAGGTTCTAACTCTTCTCTTCCTGTGTCGTCGTTTCTGTCTTTTCAGTCGCTGCTGTGACAAGAAGAGCTGTGGAAACCGTAATGAGACACCGTCAGACCCTGTTATCATCGACAGGTACCGCCTGCTCACATTTAGTCCCTCTCTCTCTCTCTCTCTCTCTCTCACACACACACACTCTGTGAAGGGCTGTGTTGACCCAGTCCAATGGCGTCTGTCGCTCCTGAAATGACGCCGCTGAGCGTGAGCTGCAGATTTGTAAAAGAAACTCTGACTCTGACAGTCGACCAGTTTGTTGATGGTTGGAGTCGTGAGCGCAGGTGATTTGACAGGAAGTGATGTCAAAGGTTAACAATCAGAAAAATGGGATTTTTTTATTTTCTTTCTGAACACGAAAAAAAAATGGTTTTGAGCAGCAGTGGAGCATTTTTTTACTGTCGTCTCTGTCTGTCTGTCTGTCTGTCTGTCTGTCTCTCTGTCTTCTTAGTTCCATGTCTCTGCCTTTATGAGATGAAGGACTGAACTTATCCCTTCTCCTCTCTTTCTTCCTCCTCCTCCTCCTCCTCCTCATCTCTCCTGCTTCAGCAGAGTAAAAATGGGTCATGAGAGAGAGAGTTAGAGAGAGAGTTAGAGAGAGAGAGTGAAATGAGATCCAACCTCATTTTAATCTGATTTGTTCTCGGCAGCGTCGTTTTAACCCTGTGTGAGCAGGTTTTTTTTGTGTGGTACGGAATTTTTTTTTTTTCAAACAAAAGGGAAAAAAATGGGAAAACTGCTGAGTCCCGTCTCCATCCATCACTGAGTGACAATCATCAAAGTCAGAGCCGCCGAAAAAACTGAGTCGAAGGTGACGAACACGTCAGGTTGAACCAGTGACACGTAAACAAACACACGGTTTTAGTTTGACAGAAGCTCCTCGGGATTCAAACCTTCAGCACGTGTTCGTGTCGACCGACGGTTCCGACTGACACGACGGTCGGATGGATTGTTGTGTAGTTGACTGGTTGATGTTGTAGTGGACGACGACTGGACTGGTTGACTGGTTGATGTTGTAGTGGACGATGACTGGACTGAAGTTTAGTTCTGGAGGACACCGTCCATATGAACGGTCATGACTGAAAGAAAAAAACACCGACTCTGTGAAAATTCAATTTTTAAATAATTTATCTCGACATTTTTCCGTATGAATAATTACATCGTTTGATTTAATCTCAAATAAAAACAGGTGGGAATTTCAGCTTTTATTTTTGACGATATCTAGGAAGTTTGATTAATCTCAATTAATCGTGATTAATCATAATTAATTGAGAGATTAATCAGATTTAAACTTAAGAGAAAAAACAGAACATTTTAATAATATACTCTACATATTATGTCTTCTGTATCATCAAGCCCGTGTGGGTCACCTGATGTGTCCCAACCGCTAGCCTTCATCTGGCCCAAATAGGTTGTAGTTCGGTGCTTTGGCCACATGGGCCACATGGTCGTGTTTAGGCTCCTTTGTCGGACCAACGCGTGGCCCAGATTTGGAGGACGAGGACGAGAGCGAACCACGCGAGTGTCATCGCTCTCCGTGATAACTGGGCCAAGTGAAGGTGTCATGTGGGCCAGATATGGAACACTCCAGTATCTGGGCCAGCGCTCTAACCCCACAGCTAACCCCACAGCAGCGATTTAGACCAGTTTAGAGTTGACGACGACGAAGACGAGGAGGAGGAGGAGGAGTAAAAACACACATTTAGATTTTCACCGTATCCATCATTTAAAACACTAATAAGACAAATACCAAGGGAGCAGTTTCCGACGAAGACGATCACAGATGTGTGTGAGTGTGTGTGTGTGTGTGTGTGTGTGTGAGTGTGTGTGTGTATAATATACTGTATTTCCACCGCAGCCTCCTCTCTTGTGTTTTGGTTGGCTATCTCAGACATCTCAGCTTTCACTCCATAAT